TTTATATTCAAGTTTGTGGTCATGTCGTCTGCATCGGAGGTGTATTGGAGCCTTTTCCTGTGATTGCCATCGTAGCGGTGCTAACAACAGATGAGCTTCCATCAGCTTATCTAACGTTACTGTTACTAAATTAGCCTCTAGCTGCTGTTCTCCACTAACTCACAGAACAGGTTGACTTTGAGAGGAACATGCTAGCACATGTTGAATATACATGAGCACTGCACGTTTCAAAATCGAAACCCTGAAACCCCCGAGAAGGGTCTGTCTGCGGACTGCAAGAGAGGGGCGTAACTGGAAGGGGGCGTAACTTGAACAAGGGGGCGTAATTTGAAGTTGTCCAAATCACACAGAACCACGCTAGATGTCAAAACGAGATGTTGTCGGGCTGCGTTCGAAACCATAGACATATAAAATACCTAGACTCCTCATTGGCCGCTGGATCGTACGTCAACGCCATCTTGGTGCGGGCATCTTTTCCATTGTTCTCATAAGTGGACTCAAGAAAATGCCTCAGTCGTGTGCTGCTTGGGGCTGTACAAACCACCGCACAGTTGAAAATAGGTCTCGGGGAATTACTTTTCACAAGTAAGACTGAAAAGTTGTTGACTGACACTGATCTGGTTGTATTTGGTCATTAAAACATTATGTTGACACAACTTGACAGTAATTGACCGTTGGAGTCAGACTATTAATAGCTAGCGATATCGCTATTTAGCTGTGAGTCGAGGAAACCAGAAATGTTACATTCTTTCTTATATAGTTTTAGTGTATGGTAAATGATATATCATAAACTAAATTGCCCGTAATCGAGATATTCATTTATATTGCCGTTTTTTTCTCAAAACTGACTCTTTTGCCGACCTACTCGTTTCGGCTAAGCGGCATGAATCTAATTTAACGTTAACCGTTAGTAGTTGGCTAGCTGACGTTAGCTAACTCTTCTCACACATTGAAGGTTTCCCAAAAACAAAGAGTTGAGGAGGCAGTGGGAAGTAGCTCTAAGAAGAGAAGGGTTTTCCGCAAGCGAGTCCTCCGTGCTATGCAATGAACACTTCAAGCCGGAGGACTTTGACATGACAGGTCAAATTGTGAGGATTAGGGATGGAGCTAAACCATCGATCTTCAGCTTTCCCCCTCATCTACAAAGAGTAGGTTTTATCGTCACTGGATTATAAGGATTTGATAGCTTGTCATTAAATAGTTAGTGACATATATTTAATATTTATTTTAGCCTGTGGCAACCAGGAAAACAGAGGCCTCAAGGAAAGCTGAGGAGAGCTGGTCAGTGGACTGTTCTCAGATTTTCCAAGAGATCGAACCTCCTCTGCCTAATGTTGTTTAAAGCATCCTTGCTAAATAAAAGTAGTAATTTCTATCATTTCTTTCCCAAAGAAAAAAATTATACTGACTCCAAGCTTTTGAATGGTATAGTGTATAATGTTACAAAAGCTTTTTATTTCAGATAAATGCTGATCTTTAGATCTTTCTATTCATCAAAGAATCCTGAAAAAAATGTACTCAACTGTTTTAAATATTGATAATAATATTATCAGAATGTTAGAATGATTTCTGAAGGATCATGTGACACTGAAGACTAGAGTAATGATGCTGAAAATTCAGCTTTGCATCACAGGAATAAATTACATTTTAAAATCTATTCAAATAGAACGCAGTTATTTTACGTAGTAAAATATCACAATATTACTGCTTTTGCTGTATTTTGGATCAAATAAATGCAGGCTTGGTGAGCAGAAGAGACTTTAAAAACATTAAAAATCTTACTGTTCAAAAACTTTTGACTGGTAGTGTACTTGCAAATTTTTGCTTTTCAGTATTGATAATGGTGACAACATCACTGTAACATCTTTATCCCAGTAGTTTGTTTAAGTGTCATGAGATGATAGTTTGTGAAATATTTAATTTGCAAAGTATGCTTTCACCACCATGCCTTAGTTATTGTCTAACTAAGTATTGTATAAAGGGAAGTGAATTTGAATATTGCAGTAGAAAAGTAAACAAATGAGGCTGTGAAATGGGTTTGTGTCTTTACAGGGATGTGTTGGAGAGACGGACGCAATGTGCTGGACTTTGACCTTACGGTAGCTGTACACAGTCAGATCACACCTATTGACACAGACATATACTACTAGAAATAAAAAAAAGTAGCACAACACCCTAAATATTCCATTATCTTCATATATTTTACATTTACTACAAGATCAATTCTGTATGTTTCATGACAGCTTCACTTTTGGATCATTGTGTTTTTTTTTTTTATGATGATTTAAATGCTAAACTGCAACCAGAGATGTTAAATAGTTTTGTTTTTTTTATAACAGGGGCAATCTCTTTAACGACTCGCAATGTTATATCTTGTTTAATTTGAAGTTAAGTTTAGTATTTACGATTTATAATAAAAGGGTTAGCATGAATAGTGGTATATTCAAAATTAAGTGCCATTGGGAAATTAAGTCTATTATAATAAAAAAACAATAATAATTTGGAAAAACGTGCTAGTTTGTGAAAATTTATATTATGAAATGTTTTAAACAATAATGGCTTTGTTTTTGTCCAATATTACAAAATGGTTAAATACAATTAAAAAGTGCATTTAAAAAAATACTATAAAACTAGTTATTTAGTTTTATATTTCATTTCATTTCCTTGAATTCTGAGTTCCTCGTCGTCACGACGCGCGACGCGGAAACACCGATGACGCAAATGGTGTGCGCTGGAGGAGTGTAGTGTTGACCATAGACATAATAAATACGTATTAATAAGTATTTATTATGTCTATGGTGTTGACACTATGATTGACACAAGCGTCTGTCGGTGCCAGGCACAGAGATGTCAATATAACTGTGGTCATATTTTCTCCGATGAACATGATAAAAAATCCGTTTCACTCTTCTATGACTTTTATTTCGCACGCCTTTAACATAACGTTACGTCAATCAACATCGTAAAGGAAAACAGATATAAAAACTGGGTGAACACATGATTGTGCAGTGTCATATCAAAATGATCAATAATTCAGGAAAAAAAAACGAAGAACAGGTGGATGAGAAATGTGGATTGTTTACCCTTTCAATCTGTCTTTGAATACAAGGATTTTCGGTTACAATAAGGTATGTGCCCACCATATCTCATATTTACCTAATTCATATGTATATAAGCTATTATATATAGCCTAATATTGTAATTTATCTATTCTTAATTAATTAGATTTATACAGAACGCATCTAAGAATTAGACAACTGGCATCTAAAAATCTAAATTTTGCAATGGATGTTAATTTATGCCCTGCTTATATACCACTAAAGGAGTGTATCTATAGCAATTTGTTGTTGTTGTTGTTTCTATTATATGTTAGTTGCTTAGAATATAATGTTGCCATGTTGGTTACTATTGAGCTTGGAGGTATCAGAGTAAAATATGTAGTATTAATGGGAATACGGATCTGTTCATGTAAATGTGAGTAACAGGAAGCGATGCCAGCATCATTTTATGCTCATGTGATTCAGTTGATGTCGAGAACAAGCATCACGCTGGAGGACGAGGAGAAGCAGAGATGCCCTGCTGCTGCCAATCCACAGAGTTCACCTGCAATCACACCCCGCACTCCTTACCTGAGAGGTGTGTATTAAATTCTGTTTCAACCTTCACTGTAATCTATTTTAGTTTACTGTATGATTTATTATTGACCGCAGTCGAAGAAAACTCATGCCTTTTCTTGAGCTCTATATGTTTGCAAACTTAGTTTAAGTTTTAGACGTGTGCATTCTGACATTTTACCTCAGATTGAATTTGGAACCATCCGTCGTCGCTATGGAGACAAGCCCCTCCCCTTCTAGTAATGGAACAAGCCTCCTGTCGTTGCCATGGGAGATAGTTACCCAGATCGCCTCACATCTCCCAGCACAGTGTGGCATTAATGTGCTGCCGCAGGTAAGCATTTTCAAATTCAACAGATGTTTTGAAGCCAAAATTGACATTTTTTTTCTAGTCAAGCTTCTTTCACTAATTGTGTATGCAGTTCTTACTAATAGTAATACATGTATAAATATTAAGAATAATATTAATATATTTAAAGAACTTTTTTTGTTTACCTTTATATGATAAACAATTGTTTTTGTGCTCACGGATCCTATAAACCTTAAACCTTTTTGTTTGAAGGTTTGGGGTGAATTATATATTTTTAATGTTTTTGAAAGAAGTATTTTATGCTCACCAAGACTGCATTTATTTGATAAAAAATACAGTAATATTGTGAAACATTATTACAATTCTAATGTTGATGAATCTTGCTCGTTTTGTGGTTTTGTTGAGGAAACAGCTGCCCATTTGTTTTTTGATTGTGGTGTTACCAACAAATTATGGGTTGACTTAAGCACCTATGTTTCTAACCTTACAAATGTGTCCCATACCTTCGTCCTCAAAGATGTTATCTTTTATTATGAAAATCCAAAGCTATTATCTGCTGAATATGTGGTTAATTTTCTTATATTGAATACAAAATTCTTCATTCATAAGCAAAAATGGCTTAAATCTCCTTTGTCTTTCCCTATTTTTCTTGTTGAATTGGACTCTCTTGTTTCATCTCTTAGACTTACTAATAACAAAAAGAGTGCCAAACTTTTGATGTATTATGACAACTTTTCTACAAGAATGTAAGTTTATTTTTGCACTTTTATGTATCGATAATAATTAATTTGACATTCAAATACAGAATATTTGTTTTCTGTTTTTATTTTTATAATTGCTTTTTGTTGGAATATATTCATGTCTCGCTTCCCTGTTTCTGTATGTTTCTACAAGTTTTGTAATAAAAAAAAAATAAATAAAAAAAAAGCATTGTAAGCCTGAGTAGACCGTAAGTCTAACTAGGTCCTTTGGTGCAACTGGTTTTTGGGAGTCACGATTTTCTCTGTGTAATTCGACATAACGTGAATCTGTGAAAATATCTTGCAACTCTACAGTTGATCCCACAAACTCCGATCTCTATCATTAGTTTGATCTGATCTTCTGCGTGAGCTCTCAACCAATGATTCACCGGAGCTCCGCAAGGACCGCCTCCCTCATTTGCACACGGAAAAGTAAGAAGAAATAAATGAATAAATAAATCTGGAAATAAATACACGTGGGAATAAAAAATAATAAATACATACATAAATAAATTATATTAAAATAAATGCAAAAATAAATACATAAAATAATATAATACATAAAGGAAAAAGTAATTAAAAAAATTAATTCAGGGTTAAATTTTATTACAAATGAACTATATTTGTTTTTATCAAGTCATTTATTCCTTTATTTATTTTCCTGTCATTTTATTTATTTATTTATCTATATATTTATTCGTTTTTAATTTCTGCAGGTTTGGTCCTCCATACCTGCTGGGTGGAAAAGAGGCGTTGAGCGCCTCCGGCTCTAGGGACAGAAACGTGAACCTGTGGGATCTTCGAGAGGGGTCCAGAGGCAAGTTAATGCATACTCTAGCGGGACATGGGACCATTAGCACCCACCGGGGCTGGCCGTGGTGCCTGGCCTCCAGTGGACCTCTGCTGGCGTCTGGCTCGTTTGACAGCACCGTCAGACTCTGGGATCTTGAAGCCGGAGGAGCAGAACGGAGACTCATCCAGTCCAAAGCTGCAGTATTATGTCTGTCCTGCGAGAGCGACATGGTGCTGGCCGGATCACATGATCAGAAATTAAGCATCTTTGACACCCGAGGTAAGTCGAAGTTCAGAATATTCCTGGTTTTATTGTGAATGATTTATTGGTTGTGAATGGTTCACATTGAATTAGCTTTTATTTTTATATTGTTAGTTTTCATTTTAATTTTATTTTAGGTTTTGGTAATTTTGTTATGTGCTTTGTCATTTTTTATTGTTTTTTTAATTTTTCTATTTATATTGGTTTTTATTATATTTCTAGATAGCGTTAATTTAATTTTATTTAAGTTTTAGTTTTAGTAGTTGTAGTACTTCAACCTATTTGTTTTTGCTGGTTGGCAAGGCAACATTTCTCATTGAAAGAAGTATTTTATGCTCACCAAGACTGCATTTATTTGATAAAAAATACAGTAATATTGTGAAACATTATTACAATTTAAAATGACGGTTTTCTATTTGAATATATTGTAAAATGTAATTTATTCCTGTGATGCAAAGCTGAATTTTCAGTGTCT